AAAAAAAAAAAAAAAAAAACTCTCCTGGAGCCCTGATATAATTATTCCATAGAACCATACCTCGCGGCCTGAGTTATGGTGAGAAGCGGAAGCGGAAGATAAGGGTTTTGAAGAGTCATCAACATGATGGTGATGGTGGTCAATGGAGTCTGCCACTGGTATCAAAAGCTCTCGATCTCTTTCTCTACTACTGTTCCCGATTACCCCCACCATAATTTCCGATTTCTCATCTCCCATTTGGAAAAAATTACACACTAACTCACAGCGTCCTTTCTCTCTCTAGTATACTACTCCAAGAATTTCAGCATTTCCCTCTCTCTCTCTCTTCGCACTAGTGAAATCCAGCAGTATTTATTTTTAAGTATTTATTTAGTGTAGGTCGTCATTTTTGTCTGCCTTCTGAATTATAAAATGTATTCAACGGAGTATTCAACGGTGTAGGGTTTGGTTCGGTATGACCATGATGAGTTGGTCCATGTGAGCTGTCACCAATTACGAAATGCCAGCTTTAGGGTTATGTATCCTTTCCGATTCTAGTATTTGCATTTCCTTTCACTTGAAAGAGTTTATTTTACAAATTTTTTCTTTGTTTAGTGAATTTTGTTCGCTTCGTGTCCCACCCTCTACTCCTTTTAAGAGTTCCATTTCTTGTCCATACGGAGGTGGTAATATGTCGAGACGGTACTATGAACTTCATCACATCTATACGTAGGACATAGCTCGCTTCGATTTTTGACCTCCTCCCGTGTTGAGTTGGGTTGGAATCTAGGGTTTTGGTTCAAACCCCGCTACGTGACCACAACCTATTATATTGAAATAAAAACAAAAGGCAAAATCGATAAAATTAAAATGAAGCTCTTATCAACTTTGCCTAACTCTAGAAGAACTCTAAACCTGATGCTAGATTATGTGCTTCATAACTACTGTACAAGAATGTTTGATGACAAGTACCACCCATCAACTAACTATATTTGAAAATCAATTACACAGCTCCCAAGCTTCTCTGCAGCCTCAAGTTCTCGAAGGATCCCCCATGTAGACGATCGTAGAATAGATTTAGAACTTGTCTCTGATTTTTGAGGTTCTTGCAGTTCACTGTTGTCATGATCGCCATGTCTTGCCAATGTTATCTTAACTTGATCTTTCCTCCGGGTTCTTGAGTGAGATATTTGTAATTCTGTATTGACACGTGTATTGATGTCTCTTCAGACAGTGTCAAAACAAGAAAAAAGAAGGTTCATTATTGAAATTTTAAGAGCATAAACCAGGGCTACCTCCATCCAGCCCTACTGCTAGGCTTGAGTTTGCACGCGTGATGCATAACCATGTTCTTTGATCCTCGTGTTCAACTTCCGATACAATTGGAATATGCCAGTGGCCTCGCTCCGACTCCTATCAAGTTAAAGGATCAGTGACATTAGTTCAAATTTTCGGTAACATGTCTCTCTTTCGTCACCTCAAGGATATTACATCTGCCAGTACAAATCACATTCTGGGATGATATTCGTTTTCCCCTGTAGTTTACAGGTGAATAAAGATCAACTTTGTAGACGGTTAGAATTGGAAAAGAATGGGTTTCTTATCCAGCCTAATACGGCATCATTCAGATTCAGGTTAAAGTTGAAAAGGAAGATACATATCCCTGAATCTCCTTATACAAAAACGAGAGTCGAGACTCACCTGTATTACAACAGAACATGGAGGCGGCATGTGGAAAACAGGACCAGTTTCAGAAAATCTGAAACGAACCTTCCATATAGAAAATCAAGATGCCTCGTTAGGACAATTGAAGACCGTATAGAGTACCATGCATGTATGATAATTCTCATGATTAATACAAAAATAACTTAATTGGCAAAGCAAAGATCACAAGCCAGCAGAATAATTTACAGACCGACAACTATAAAATGTAAGCTCTTATTCATGATGATTATGCATATCAAAGGGTAAAACAAAACATTAGAAATTAATCATGGCACAGACAAATTTATCTAATAATAAAATATAAAAGCTCACCTGATGCCTTTCTTTCCATTTAGGAAAAAAATCATTTCCCAAAAGTTGAAATAAGTGATCTCTCATTTCGTCATTGGTCACAATTAAGCATCTAAACTTTATAGCTGCATATAACCAGTACCTAAAGAACAAGATAATTTTCACAACAATCCAAATGTTAAAACATCATAGGGATTGAAAGTTTTAACGTTGAAATGTAGTTTTCACCAATCATCATTTGATCCTGTAGGTGTTGCATAAAGTGCATCCGCATTTTTCCACTTGTCAATTATTGCTCTATTGAGAGGTTCATCCATCTTCTCCCCTGTAATCCGCCTATTATGCAAGACGATAAGTGGCCATTTTCTTGAAGGAAGCATCTGGCGGATTCCATTCACTACCGCATTTACCTGGATATGACATAGCATTGAGAAGAAAGTGAAAAAAATAAACTGAGAAATCGAGCATTAAAATTGCTCAATACTTCACCATCATACCACTTGCCTTAGATGGTTTAAATCTTCTTTGGCTATAAAGGCCAATATTTGCTCCATCCACCACTGCTTCAAATGGACCATAGTAGTCGAGCCACTTCTGCAATGCAATACACCTTTCACTTCATTAGAGATTCTTAGGATGTAATAAATAAATGACGAATACTTGGGTAATTTACATACTTGAAATTTCTGAAAGCTTGAATGTTTCTCTCTCTGTGCAGCTATAGCTGCCACTGATTTGGCAAAATTTTCAGTTTCTACAGGATCAAGGTCAATAGTTACTAATTTTTCGCTGCAACATTTGCATAAGCCATCTGATCCAATAAGTGTGCGAGAGACAGTCCATTTTCCTTTACCCAACCAACCCTGTCCATGCCACCCACCTCCTCCGTTCTTGATTGCTTCAATAATTAGTTCTTTATCCCATTTTCTTTTACCCACTCTTGTAGCTATCTTGCTTTTAAACCACAACTCAATCAAATCTGCCGTAGCTGGTGAAACCTGTCTCACACTTGTTCTAAGTTTATGCAACAAATAATAGACCTTGTCACTCTTTCCAGCTTCTATACTTACTTTCATAAGTGCCTCGAGCTCAGGCTCTTCTGGATATACACCATGTTCTAACATGTGTTTTTCAACCATAAATGCTTTATCTACATTTCCTTTACTGCAGAAAACAGCTAGAGCAGGGCCATATGATCTCAATCGAGGATTTATCCCGAATTCCTTCATTTGTTTGACCATATCAAATGCCATGTCACCATCACCCAAGGACATAGCCATTCTGGCCACAGATGTAAATGTTGCTTCATTCATCGGAACCTTTTCCATACGCATCTCCTCGTGGATTTCAAATCCCTTCCGGAGTGCCAATCTCTTTACATCCTTACTCACTTCAGTCACTTGAATTTCATAAACTGTTTTTTCATCTCTATCACCTTCAATATTTGAAGCAACAGCAGCTTTCTTCTTCATCAGTTGAACTAGTCCATTCAAAGTTTCAGGGTGAAGCTGCCTAGTCCCATTTGAGAAGTTTTTTGCATCATCTTTTCCATCAAAACACTTATTCGAATCACCTAATGCTACTTCAATAGGATAACCATTAACAGTTTTCTGATCCTGTATGTTCAATTGAATTCTATCTGAATTTCTTTTGGTCATTTCACTCAAATATTCAGAACTCGAACTAGAATTCCCTTTAGACAGGTCAACCTGACTCAAACTCCGGCTACCACTCCCACTTTTTGCTGGCTGGACGAATCCAGTAGCTGCAGATGAACAAAGATACAACAGAACAGCATAATGGTACTGGGACAACTTGATTCCATCTTTCTTTGCCAATTCATACAGCGTAATTGCTCCCATTATATCCCCTCTTTTCGAGCACATATCGAGCCCAACTCTCAGGGTTGCTTCAGGTGTCTCGACTTTTGTTTTTCTGGACCATTTCTCTGTCTTTTCCACTCCCACCTGATTGCTTTTGTCCTCCTTGAATCTTTCACCTATATTCTCCCCATCCACTTTACTCCTACTCTTACCACTCTTACCAGTTCTTCTTGCTAACTTTCTATCTCCAGAGCCCATTTTTCTTCTGTTCTCGGAATTAAATCCATTTTTTGAATGTCTATCCCTAAGTATGACTCTCCTCTCAACAGGTTCGTCGATGGTAGAAAGAGGGTTTTTCTCAAAATTTATGCCAATCCTTTCGTTAACACAAGCAAAAGAAGAAATCCCAGAACCATTGCCATCAATATGACTACAATTATGAGTGGTTCTTGGGAGCTGTAGCGCTGTGTTACTGGACGCACTACTGGGTTCTAAATGCGTAGTTATAACTTGTGCTTCAACAGGTGAAAATCTTGGGTGCAGCATGTGTTTTGCGGGTAAAAAGGTAAAATTATGAACGGAGAAGTGGAATTTAAAGTACTTACACTGAGTGAATGAAGAAAGTTGGAGTTCAGTTTGTTGGTGTAGAGGTCTGAAGGTTAAGGAGGCCATGTGTGGCCGTTACAGAAGCTCCCTCTCAATTTCGGATTGTACATATAATAGACCACTTTAAATGACACAAGTACCCTTCCTCAATCCCGACAGTTCGAAATTACGCATACTGGTTTGAGGATAAGGCGTTCCCTTGGAACACTTTCCAGAAGTGACAGCCTGGGAAAGGTCAGGAATCCTAGTGCAAAAAGGCGAACGCAATACTATATAATGATATCCTCGAGTTCGTCATAAACAGAATTTATAGAATGTTTTGATATTACTTATAAGAACAAAATAACTTTTAGATTATTTGACATTTTTTTATCACTAATTTTAAATCACGTGAAAGCTACATACAATTTTAATGTCTTCATTTGATTGTCTGGGTCAGTAAAGATTGAGATTTAAAGAATTGAACAAGTTTGATACCCAAACCTCGCTTTCGAAACTTAGCCCTATTCGACTCCATTAAAATTATAATTCATTTTTCTCTCTCTTCTTATCAACAACATATTTTTCAATAAAATAATTTTACAAGTAAATTTAAAACTTTTTCTACTTTTTTTAATCACATTCTCCAAAAATTACTATTCTAAAATACATTTTTTTCCAAAATCTAATTAAGAAAGGGCTTAATGATCCATAACTACACCTCATGAAAAGTTTGAAAAGTCCATTTTTAATTAAACTACGACTTTTGAAAATCAAAGAAAAATATGTGCTCCTTGCAATCCTTCACTTCCATCTCCACAACACTGTTACTGTTTCTTTAGATGTTCCTTTGTTTCCTAGTGAGTTTTGCTCCTTGGAAAGGAAGCGAAGTGTCATCTCATGGATCTACTGATTTTTCGAGCTGGAAAAAAGTTATAGCCTTATAGGTACCGAACGCTGTCTAATATCTGTGTTTCGCGTATTGGAGAGTAACCAAGACGCACCACCCTCTGAGATCAATACAAAACAAGAAAGCTCAAAATGGAGCACTTGAATACCTAGAGCACATTACAGACATCAGAATCATCTTTTAACAACTCTATGTAAGATACTCAACAGATTTTAAGGCATTGCAGAATCCATGCAAAACAGAAATAATTTATAGATACAACTGCAAATTCTTATGGGATAGATTTTACATCATAAGTCAGTTAATGACACCGTTAGTGACAACAAATGAGCAAAGATAGGCCTTATTGGCATGCAGTTGAGCTACCACAGATTTCTATAGAGTAAAGGTCCTGATAACATCATTAATAATAACAGCATTTTGAAGAGACATAAAGTAATTCCACAATTTTTTCCACGCTAACCTTCACTGTAACTTCTTGGAGGGAATTCGTAATACAAAAATATAAAACAAACAAATGTAGAAATTAACAAGATAAATAAGCAACCTCCATCCAGGCACATGTTATTGTAAGTTCACAAAAACATTTGAAGGTTTTGGAGCATTGTAAGTCAGCAAAGAGAACTGTAACCTAAATTCTTATCCATCGGAAATGAGCCCCACAATGACCGGACCTGAAATGCTGTTATAAAGGCATTGAGATGCCTGCAAAATCATGAAAAAAAAGCATTAATAACAGAAGTTTGGAGTCAGTACAAGTGATACATAATGAATTTGTCATCTGCACATATAGTTAGGTTAACTCTTATGTTACGACCAAATGGTAGAAGGATATATATGCTAAATAATATTTTTTTATTTGAATTTTTATGGTAATTTTCAGATTTTTTTTCTTGCACAAGTATTTTTATGGCATTGTACAAGTTAGCTGCCTAGGATCATTTGTAAGAAGAGCATTGCAGATTGATTAAATAATAAACTTTGAGACTTTTCTCTCAATTATCATTCCAACTTCAGTATTCTGTGAATCAACGAGTTTTGGTTACCTAGTCTTCTGCTATTCTTAAACGTATGAACAGGAAGCTAGAAGGTTTTGCATGCTTGATCGTGTGTTTATCGATTCATACACATTACCCTCATCAGTCTAACCCCCTTAAACCCCTCATCCATTATCACGGTCCATCAAAGCAGAAGATATTTAGCCCTTGTCTGGGCTCCATTACAATCAAATTTTGGGAAAATATATTTTGGAAGAGTGATTTTTTGAAGAATGTATGGTCAAAAAGGAAGGAAAAGTGTTGAGTTTACATGTAATATTATTTTATTGGAGAATGTGTCGTTGAAAAGAAGAAAGAGAAAAATGCATTTTCAAATAAATGGAGCTCAAACAGGGGCTTACTTGATTATCAAAGTATTCCCCTGATTGAAAATAAAATAATAAATTCATTGCCAAAAGAGTAAATGAAGGAAAGATGGAAGGAGCAACTTCAATGAAGCATTAAGATCATTATCTTTAATATTTTGTGCATGTCAAGTATCCTCTTTATCTGTATATTGATATTTTTTTAATTCTCCATAGCATTGCTTCAACAGTTTGGTTGTAATATCACTTTATTGACAGACACGTTGAAGCTATGGGAAAGAAGTCGGATTGTTGAGGTTGTGATGCTCTAATCATGGAGGCTACTGCTCATGATTTAGGTTGCAGCAATGATTATGTTTGGTGACTGGCCAATGAAAGCAACGATCTGGTGCGGTGGTACAATTTGGGGACAAAATGGCGAGGACGAACAAAGTTTAACACAGATGTGGTTGAGTTCTAGTTGGAGTCGCAGAGCTGGTCTCTGCTTTGCTGGAGGATCAAAGAAAGGTATGAACTGATCAATTGTGGTTTTGATGTTACTTTATCCCTAATCACATCCCTAGAGAGTCCTTCGTGAAAGAGAAGAATATTAATACATTTTCATTGAATGGTATCATTTTTTTGTGATTGAGAGGGCTTTTTTGTTAAGAAAGCGGTCATCAATTACTCAGTAAGACAAGTACCAGAGATATATATTCACACGCGTATAACCACCATTGTCCCGAACAGGGTGTTCTTCTATCAATCTTGAGATTACACAAAATGGAAGTCCTCTATCCTAAATATGTTCTTGACTAAAGGACTTTCCCATTTGAACAGGTTTTTGAACATTTAAACCATTTATTTTAGGTGAATATTTAATAGCAAATTAAGAATGATATGTTCCACACAAGCAGACGTGCATTATATTTAATCTCCTTGAAGTCCAGCTCCAACATCAGGGTTCTTAAATCGAGAAAAGAGGGAGTATTATCATAGAACAAACTGATGATTGTGTTTTATCAAGTCAGTCTAGCCCTAAATATAATCAAAACTTCATTGCGACTCTGAGGTAAGCACCATAAAGGAGACTCGTTGTATTTTCCTTTTCACAATGTTATAAAATTAATAATATCAAGTATGGCTAAGCTTAAAACTAGCTTTTAAGCACCTTATTTTACCAAACATAATTTATCTTAAAAATAAGCTGATTCCATTAAAGCCAGAAAGAGCTAAAAACTGTTAAAAAGGGGCATTTTCAACCTTACTGTCAAAAAAAGATGCTAGCTTATTTTATGGTTTGACCAAGTAAAAGACTTAAGTTCACAAACACGTACACGGGCACTGTGACATGTGATTTCACTAAAAAGTAGGACAGATACATTATGGACACGTCGATTTAAATTATTTAAAGTTTTAAATTTATATCCTATTATCTTTTTACTGATTCCATTAAAGCCAGAAAGAGCTAAAAACTGTTAAAAAGGGGCATTTTCAACCTTACTGTCAAAAAAAGATGCTAGCTTATTTTATGGTTTGACCAAGTAAAAGACTTAAGTTCACAAACACGTACACGGGCACTGTGACATGTGATTTCACTAAAAAGTAGGACAGATACATTATGGACACGTCGATTTAAATTATTTAAAGTTTTAAATTTATATCCTATTATCTTTTTAATACAATACTTAGCACATGTCATGTTGAACACTTGTTCGGGGAATGTTCGCAAAATATCCTTGAGCAATAGAAATTTTAAAAAATATACAAAAAAATGAGACACAACATGTAGCTTGTCGGACCTATGTCACCACGCGTCCGAGGAGTGTCGGTGTCCGACTTGACACAATATGTTTCGTACAAAGAAAAGCCGCCATAGTAGCAATGTAGTAAAAGACCAAATTACTCCCAACATTTATCCATATTTTAAGTTACCATCCATTGCAACATCTTATCCACATTCTCTATCTTCTACCCGCCTACCCCTGCCCCAGCTTGTCGTCACCTCCACGACTCAGCTGTCTACTCCCATTGTTCTACCGGCTTCTCCCATTACCCCACCCATTTTAGTTTTTCACCATCTTTCCCTTCTCCACCAAACTCCTTCCTCCACGTGAGAGGAATCCTCCAACCTCTGCCTCTCCTTCCACCTTCTTTACTTGTTTGGTAAACTCAACTTCATTTCCAAACATGCTGTTAGTCAAAGCACAAAAAGGGTAAGAAGTTATTATGATAGCAACAATCACGTTTGAAACCAATCCACATCCACCACTGAGAGCTAGACGAAAACCACAAACCATTCTCCCAAAATGAAGATAAAGCATTCTACTCCTATATCTACCAAGTAAGACTAACTTTTCCTACATCTTGATTTTTTTTTCTCCCTCAAGTGATAAGTCATATTTCTACTTCTTCATAAAATAGGCAAAAAGCAAGAGTTCAGAACCAAATAATATTGAAAAGGAATATAAGATTCAAGTCACTAAACTTCAATTCTGGTGCTTCAGTCAACAATTATTTGTCCATATTTATTCCTAGATGCCGAATAGGTAACCTTCAAGCGCAATGCAAGGGTCCTATAATGATTCCACACTATGAAACATGGAACACTAAACTCCTAAGGTGGAGGAGTACTGGCATATGATAATTATCAAACACCGACATTTCTCAAAAAGTCTATTTTTTTATATGTTTTCTTTAATTTCTGCCATGCAAGGAAATCTTCCCCGACAAACCTCGGATACATCCCTAATCCTCTGTATTTTTATTTTTGAATTTCCGACACTGTTTCGTGGGGAGTTCCTTTGAACGACAACCCCCATTTTAGGTCTTGGAATATAAAACCAGAAATTTTTAATTATTATAACATTTCCGTAAAAAGTCATAATATTGTGAGAAAAAATGTACTATTTCCATGTCAAAAGAATTTACATTTACAATAAACAGTTTTTGATACATTAGTATTTTATTTCATATTATTATTAAAACAAAGTACAGCCAAAAGTTATCATGATATAACAAGTAGCCATTCTTCAAACTCAAAAAGATATTCTCTACAAAATTCAAAATCAAATCTGATAATTTTATTAAGGAAATTTTAAAATTATAAAAATGAATATTTGATACAAAATTAAATCTGAAAACAAAAAATAATTTTATAAAGGAAATTTAAAAATTATAACAATGAATATTTGATACATAAATGTATACCTTTAAAGAATTCTAAGCAAATTTCAACATCAAAAACTCCAAGTAATAAAGGACTGCTGCCTGCTGGTAAATCGACAATAAAACTAATGTAACTTTTAACACCATGACTGCATATATTAACAATTAGGGACATTACTATTAAGCCACACAATACTCAATTACTAGCTCCATATTAACTATTCACATGTCACTTGGCAGGCATTTATGACAAATTTGGCCATATCAAATGCAATCAAGCAAATCAATAGATTGCAAAAACTGAGTTTCAAAAATCAAATAAGTAATGTCCAAATGGAAATGGAATGGGCAACAACTAGAATTAGTACAAGTATTTAACTAAAGCAAACCTTGAGGAACTAAACCCCATTTCTGCGACTCAATCGACAAGCTTGACTTCAAACGAGCAGATGCTATTGCACTGTGCAACGGTATCATCGTCTCCACGCAACTCAATTCCACGGGTAACCTAAAACCCACTTGCAAAATGCATTATACATTAATAAATACAAACATATAGACAAAAAATGACATAAGTGAGGATGCGGCTGATGCAGATTTTGCGAGTATTTGTTCACCTTGAGACGATAGAGAAGCGCTTATTGACAGAGGATTCAGAGGCACTTTTGAAGGGTGAAGATTGGATAGAGGTTGAGGAATTCTTGTTGAGTTTTGCAGCAACAGTTTGTAATCTAGAGTATGATCTGGAAATTACCCTCGAAGAGGCCATTTGGAGATGGATGAAGAACAAGGCTGTAAAGGGCGCCCACCATCGGGAGGAACCGGAGGGTTTTGAAATGACAAGAATAACAACAATTTAAAGACTCGTTTGGCCGAGCTCTACATTTTTTTTTTTTTTTTAATGTAAAAATATAGAGTTAAATGTTTTATTAGTCGCTCGACTTATATTTCCATCACATTTTACTCATTAAATTTTAAAATGTCTTCAAATGATCTCTAAACTTTAAGAGGTTGCACTACTCACTTGTATATTTTATAAGTGACTGAACTTCAAAATATTTATGAGTAGTTACTGAACTTTAACACGTCGAACTCATTCATCTACCATGTTTCATTAGTTATTGAACTTATAAACCTCCGTGACGTTTTACTTACCAAATTTTAAAATATTTTCGAGCGATCACTGAAATTTATAATGTATTCCAGTAAAGTTGATTTTTATGAGATTCGACATAGATCGGAAAAATAAAAATAAAATAAATGTATACACATGTGTGTGTGTGTGTGTGTATTAGGCATTTTAATTAGAGTTCAATGTTCATTAGTTATTGAACTTATATATTTACTAAGTTTTTTAAGGTGTAAATTGGGGACGTTTTATTGGGTTTTGAAGAAGTTTTTGCAGGCGTGGGAGTCATGTTTCACATATGATAAATTTTGTGTGTTGATGGTTTGATTGAGTTGTAATTTTTTTGTTTTATTATACTTACTTGTGAAATTTTTGTAAAATAATTTAGCAATGAAGTGAACAAAATATGACGAATAATGGATTTAATGTAATATCTCAAAGATGAGTGATCATTGGGAAGCATTTTGAAGTTTAATGAGTAAATTTTGACTTGGTGTAATTTGGATGAATGATGAAACAATAATTTGGCTAATTTGTAATTTTTTAATGGTCGTAATTTGACACTTCAGATTTTCATTAGCCATGGCAGCAAATAAGTTAACGAAATTTTTAGGTGATGGATGAAGTACAAACGGACAAAGTTCAATGAACATTGTAAAGCACTTTGAAGTTTGGTAAGTAGATCGTGATCATTGTATAAGTTGGGTAACTATTGAAACTTAGTGATAAGTGCATTATGTTACACTTATTTAGGCATTTTAAATTATAATATTTATTGGATATTTTAATGAATTATGGCTAAATTCTTTATATATTGTGTTCACTAGGTAAAAATTGATGAAATTGATGGAATTGGAGATCATATATGATCAACTGGATGCATTTAGAAATCAAATTCCAATCAAACAAATTAAGCTTCAGATTTTCAACTTTAGATTGAAATCTATTTTTTCACACAATAAACGTTCGAATTGGAGAAGAGATGTTTTCTAAAAGACTCATTGGGAAAACTTTATTGGGTTTTAAAAAAGTTTTGTGGAGCTGTGGAAGTGATGTTTCACATATGATGATTCTAGTAAGTTGATAGTTTTGTGAGTTGTAATTCTTTTAACATTTGTAACTTACTACGTGGAACTTCTATGCGAACTTTGGCGTCGAAGGGAACAAAATATGTGGATGATTGATGGAATCCAACATCTTAAAGATGAGTGACCATTGGAAAGTATTTTGAAATTTGATGACTAAACTGTGATCTAATATAAAAAAATAAAAAATAAAAGATTGAACCACAACCTTGAGGGCCCCACCACCCCGCCCTTGGAGCATTGTAAGGGAGGTAAATTGCAGGTCGTGCCCCAATAGGTCAGGGAACAAGCGCTTGCCCGTACACTGGTACCCACAAAGAGTCTCATTTCATATTTTAGGAATCGAACCCTCACATTGCGGCTGTCAGCAAGGCTGAGACTACCTTACTCCTATCCTTTGCACTGGACTATGCTCCGAGGGGGGGGGGGCGCAAACTATGACCTAATATAAGTTGGATGAGCGATGAAACAATCATTTTGTTGATTTGTAATTTCTAACGATCGTAACTTAACACATCAGATTTTCGTTAGCCACGTCAGCAAATAAGATAATGGATTTTTAAGGGTGATGGATGGAGATCAAACGGACAAAGTTCAGTGAGCACTATGAAGCACTTTAAAATTTAGCAAGTAAACCGCCACCATGGTACATGGGTTATTATTGAAACAATTAACTCATGATATGTTTTGAAGGTGTTTTGTATTTATTAAAGTGGGACTCATTTTTACTTGGGTAATTAGCACAAAACGTCCCTACTTTTCATGATTTTTGTGGAAAACGTTCCTACCTTTTTTTTTTGGCACATTTCATCCCTACCTTTTCATTTTCTTGTGGAAAACATTATTTTCATCATTTTTCTCAATAAAAAGTTATAAAATGACTAATATACCCTTCTATTTAAATAAAAAACAAAAATAAATAACTAATTGCAATCATAATCCCAATTTTTTAAAAAGTGCAAAAGAGTCCGAAATAAAAAAAAAAATCTCCACCTCCACCACCATCACCACCGCCAATTTTCGTTAGTTGCCTTGGCCAAGCTATTTTTCCACCACCACCTCCTCCACCACAATTTATAGCCGATTATGAATCTCTGAAGCCTTATACACTACAGAGTCCTAGTTTCAGTAACTATTATTTCAAGCAAAAATGATAAATATAGATCAAGAAAGAAAATGAGAAAATGCCACAAAACCTATGAAATTTGAAGCAAAAATTGCATCAATACAACACAAGCCCTCAATGGACACTCCTTTGGTATTACCATGGGACGAATCATGAGGAGTCCCTCAGACGATTCATTAGTGGATAGGACAATTTTTCCATTCTGTGCTTTACCATATTTTACTTCTTCCTCCGAACTAGTAGTTGTTTCTAGAAAATTGGTTGCCATGATAGAGATATTCGTGTTGGGTACTCCACAAATCCCATTTCCATAGCGGGAATTTCAAGATGGGTATAAAGGAAGAGAAAGTAGTGTTGAAATTGGGAGAGAAATTCAAGAGCTTGGATGGAAAAGTAAAGAAATTGTGCTTTGATAAAGATACTGCCATTGCTGTGTTCCTATAAAGGTTTAGTGCTTAGAAAAGTAAAGAAACGATGCTTGTAATTTGTGGTGTTATGGGGTTTTCCACCACCACCACTTTTTTATTTTTTATTTGGGACTCTTTTGAACTTATTTAAAATTAGGGTTATGACTGCAATCAGTTCTTTATTTTTTTTATTTAAATAGAAGGGTATATTAGTCATTTATAGATTTTTATTGAAAAAAATGATGAAAATGTTGTATTGCACAAAAAAAGCTAAAGGTAGGGGTGAAAAGCGCAAAAAAATGAAGGTAAGGACGTTTTATACAAAAATCATAAAAGGTAGGGACGTTTTGTGCTAATTACCATTTTTACTTTTTGTTAAGTTATGAAATTCCTTTGCAATTTTTTTAATAGTTTTTTCAAATTATTATTATTTATTTAAAGATATGGTAAATCCATCATTTAATGGCCAAATGGATGGAAGGACAATTTTTGCTGCATAATCGAAATGTTGGATATGGATTATGCTAAAAAAAAGTTGAGTATAAATTTGTTAATTTTGCAAAAGTTAGGGATGAAGAGTGCAAATTTCCCTACATGAAAATAGTTATTGCTATGAAAATAATCGTGACTAGAATTAACGAGATTTTAGTAATGTACTGCAAACTCCTTTATGCATATTAACTCATAAGAAATAGTATGGTCACTAGTTCATGTCTTTAATGAAATTAGTAAAAGTTGAATGTGCACTGCACGTTATATTAAAATATTTTATAAATTTTGTAAAAATAATATTTGATATTAGTTTGGTAGGAGAATTCAATCCATCTGGAACAAAGTAAATAAAATAAGATTTATGATAGAAATTTAAGAGAAGAAAATTGTAATCTTAAAACTCAACTTCTATGATTTAAATTTTTTGTGATGATAAAATGCTACAAATGAGCAACATTTATATGTTACATTTGGTATATATGAATTAATTGTTGATATATGAATTTAAATAACTATTAAAATTTCTAGGTATATGAATAGAAATAAATTCATTTATAATAACTCTAAATTCATTTAGATCAAAATTCATCAAATCAATATTCATGGAGTCTAGATTAATGTGAATGTTAATTGAAAAATGAAAAGTAAGGTATTTTTGAAACAATTGAATTATAGTAGGGTTAAAATCGTTCAAAAAAATGTTTCTCACCCGATGTGATATTTAATAAATTATTATTACAGATACGACTTAATAGATGAATTGAATGTACATTCCTTAAAAGTAACATCTGATTTAAGTGATGTTGTCTAATGTTATATTAGTGTGACATAATTGTTTGCCCTAAAACGTGGATGTTGTCACGACATTCTTAAAATGTGGGTGTAATTTTAACAAGGTATATACTGTGTGTGATCTATAAATAGTTAAACGTGTTTGTCAAATGTAAATAGGATGAAATAGTCGTGTGAAATCTCATTTGCATGCGTTTTAAGCTATGAAAAGATCGCGTCTCAAAATTATTACGTTGTGTTTTTTATTAAATGTAACTCGATGGATTCATTGAACACACCTTCCTACATTTGTGACCACTTATATAATTTACTTTGGGTAAGATTGTCCTATTACCTATGGTCCTTGATTTGCCAACCTAGGTTAGAAATATTTCACGACATTTTTTATCGAGGTGTATGCTAGGAGCATCAACTTTTTGGGGCCATTTTTTTTTAATTAATGATATGAATTGGTTAATTTTGATGAGGTTATGATCTTTGTCAAATCTTTTATTTAGAGAATAATTTTTTAAGGAAAAATTGCAGTTGCGGTCCTTAACCTTTTTAATTTTTACAAACTTTATCTTACCTTTCATTTTGTGCCAACGAAGGTCCTTAACCTTTCATAAATATGCAGTTATAGTCCAAATGGATGGAAATCATTAATTGACCAAGAAAAGTGCGCCTTGACCAATTTTGACTAAATTGAAAGGGGTAAAATGGTAAGTTTAAAATTGCACATTAAATAAATAAATAAACCAAAAAAAAGGTTTCTCCTTTACCCTACTCACCTCCAGCCTACCCCTCCACAACTAAAAATCAGCCACCAAC